ATGCAAATTGTTGTGCAGCTTGGGGGTGGGGGAAGATTCATAGAGTAGTTTGGAAATGGGGATCAGTGGATTTATGTGTAAAAGTAACAAGAACTGGAAGTCAAAAATATCTCCCACAGTGGAAAAACTTGAAACTGCTACTGTGTGCTATATTAATGAATGAAATTTAACTTTCCTTTAGGCACCTGTGATGAAGAAAAGCCAGGCTAAACCTCCAAGAAATGAAAGTAGGCCTGTGTCAAAATGTCTATTCTCACCTGAGCCTTTTCTAGCCACCCTCCCCATGACAATTCTAAAACCTCTTCTCTGCTTGCTGTCCTCTGCGTACATTCATTCAGCCATAGCCGGCCCTATCGTTTGATGCAGGCAACTGGTTCATACATTGACCAAAGCAGCTGCCCTTTTCCTCAGCTTAAAGGTGTTCAACTGAATGAGAGATGCTCTTGGTTTTCTCGTGAGCCAAAATCTGCGAGGGAGGCCATCTCTGATTTTGCACATGTTGTCCACTTAGATCAGGCTTCCTCAACCTCAGCCCTCCAGATGTTTTGAGACTACAATTCCCATCATCCCTGACCACTGGTCCTGCTAGCTAGGGATCATGGGAGTTGTAGGCCAAAAACATCTGGAGGGCCAAGGTTGAGGAAGCCTGACTTAGATAGAAAGATCAATCAACCAGTCTATCCAACTATCTATTCATTTATCTATCTGTCTGTCTATCTATCCATCCATCCTCTTTCTAGTTTTCTAGTTTGTGTGTCTATATATACTGTATTTTTCTGTGTATAAGACTACGTTTTTCCCCTAAAAAATAATGTCAAAAATTAGGGGGGCGTCTTATACACGTATATATCTTTCCCCCATTTTCTGAAATCTGAGTTCCCCAAAATAGGGGGCGTCTTATATATGGAAAAAATACAGTATTTGTCTGTCTGTCATCTCTCATCTATCGTCTACCTATGTGTATGTGTCTATCTTGTCATAGGTGTGTGTGGTACTTATGGAATATAAGGTCTCTGCCCTGGGAATCTTACAATCTAAAAGTCAACACAGGAGTAACAACAGAGGGAGAGCAGGGAAGCGGTGGCAGATGTAAACAGGGAAGCTATATGTCGTTGTTTCAGTTGTAGGCTTAGTTACATGCTGAGCTGCAGCAGCGTAAGGTTGCCAAATCCCAAAGGGAACAGGGTGCTCCTGCACCTTTCAGAGTTGCACAGGGAATTTCCACTTGCTTGGCAATTACGTCTCTTGCCTTGCTAACTCATGAATGGGATCCTCCATTAGATTTTGACCCTTGCTAGATCCAGCAATTGGAAGCGACTCAGGCATCATGCACTGTAACTCCCCCTTGCCCCAAAAACTCACAATAATGTTTTGGAAATATGGGGATGAGATGGATGCTTGCCCATCCAGTGAAACTTAAGACAGCAAATGATAGTTCATTAGGTATAGCTAGGCTAGAGAGGACGTGATTGCGGAACTTTTCAGAAGTACAGTGGTACCTTGGTTTTAGAACAGCTTAGCTTATTAACAACTTGGAAATAGAACGCTGCAAACCCGGAAGTACGTAGGTGTTCTGGTTTGTGAACTTTGCCTTGGAAGCTGAACATGTTCCGCTTCCTGTCGAGTGTCTTCCGTTTGTAAATTGAGTTTTCCGCTGCTAATCAGAGGCTTCCTGTTAAGTCTGTTGGCTGTTGAGTCCCAAAGACCCATGCAACACAAAGGTGATATTTGGAGCTTTTGTTTTCGCTATTTTTTGCATTTTACTTTGTGTGGCTTTTTCGTTTTTGTGACTGTGACTTGTTCTTTGTTTTATGGGACTGACTTGTGCCTGTGGCTTGTAACTTCATTTCTGTGACTTGTTTTTATGACTGTGTGGAACCCAGTTCAGCTACTGATTGATTGATTGTGTGACTGCAGAAATGGATAAAAGCCCCACATCCAAACAATGACTATCATCAGGGCAAATAAGATTTTTTTTAATCATCTACAATACTGTCTTATTTATTTTATAGTACAGTACATTGATTATTGCTTTCATTTTATGGATCAATGGTCTCATTAGATAATAAAATTCATGTTAAATTGCTATTTTGGGGTTGTTTTGAAAAGTCTGGAATGGATTAATCCATTTTGCATTACTTTCTATGGGAAAGCGTGCCTTGGTTTTGGAACGCTTTGGTTTTGGAACGGATTAAGTTTGGGAACCAAGGTACCACTGTATTGGAGACTGCATGTTGTCATTATGCCTAGGGAATAGGGGTGGAAGGATCTCTCAAATTTGATTCTCTCCATTTCTCATTTTTCCAATGTTAAATTCACTTGTCCACATTTCTGCAGCAATTTGTGCTCCCACCACCGCTCCCCGGGCTCTGAGACTTCTACCCTTGGTAGTTCCCCAGCTGGTTCCTTTTGTTTGCATTCCTGTGGTTTTTTACAATTTGTTCCTGCAATTGTCAGAGGTTCTCTGTTGCAAATGACCACAGTCTATTGATATTCAGTGAGATCCAGCAGTTACTTGCATTTCCAATTTTTCTCCATGGTACAGATAGGTTGGTCTGACACGAGGTAGTGAAGATGATTTGCAAACGCAGAAATAAGTTTAAAGTGTTACAACTGCAGGCAATACATATTGTGTCCCTAGAAAACCATCACCATAAACGGCTTATGAGATGTTGTGAAAGATCTATGTTAATATACCCCTTTGCCATTCCCAGGAAACAATTTTTCGTTCCTTCGTCAGATAAGGTTTCTGCTAATTAGAAAATGCAAAGGGTGCCGGCCTTTGAAAGCTTCTGTCATGCTTGTTAACCTATAAAGTGCCACAATATACTTTTCTTTTTGCTGCAATGGACTAACACATTGAAACCCCACCTGGGCAATCTTCTAAATGACAAATGCAAGTTTGCAACCTAGGAAGATGTCCAATTTTGCAGCAAAATAATAATCACAGACTGAATGAAATGAAATGCAGTATCTTGTTATAATGACGCCACTTATTTACTTGTTTAGGTGATCTAAATAAATTTATAGATTCATTTATTAAATGTATGGTAAAGGTAAAGGGACCCCTGACCATTAGGTCCAGCCACGGATGACTCTGGGGTTGCGGCGCTCATCTCGCTTTATTGGCCGAGGGAGCTGGTGTACAGCTTCCGGGTCATGTGGCCAGCATGACTAAGCCTCCTCTGGCGAACCAGAGCAGCGCACGGAAACGCCGTTTACCTTCCTGCCGGAGCTGTACCTATTTATCTACTTGCACTTTGACGGGCTTTCAAACTGCTAGGTTGGCAGGAGCAGGGACCGAGCAATGGGAGCTCACCCCGTCGCGGGGATTCAAACCGCTGACCTTCTGATCGGCAAGTCCTAGGCTCTGTGGTTTAACCCACAGCGCCACCCGCATCCCATTAAATGCATACCCTCCAACAAATTATTAGCGTAGGTTGTCAACAAATATAAAAAACACACAGTAAAGGGACATAATAAAGTGTCAGGGACTGGGTACTTTTTATCATATGTGGTGGACATGTGGGGAAGTAAAAGCTTTCTGGGAAATTATATATAATGAGCTGAAAAAAATGTTTAATATAACTTTTGTTTAAAAAAAGGAGGCTTTTTTGTTAGGTATTATAGATGCAGAATTACCCAAAGAAAATAAAAGACTGTTTAAGTATGCAACAACAGCAGCAAGGATGCTCCTAGCCCAGGGATGGAAAGAAGAAGAAGTACCAACCAGAGAAGAGTGGCAGACCAAGCTGATGGAATATGCAGAAATGGCAAGACTGACGGGAAAGATCAGAAACCAGGAAGATCAAGTTTTTCTAAAAGACTGAAATAATTTTTTTGGCACATTTGAGAGATCGCTGTAAATAGTTGAAATCATTGGCAGGAATACAAGGACTCTTGTAAAGTAACATGAACTTTGGAAACCATGATTATATAATAGATAAAGGTAAAGGTACCCCTGCCCGTACGGGCCAGTCTTGCCAGCTCTGGTTGTGCGCCCATCTCACTCAAGAGGCCGGGGCCAGCGCTGTCCGTGAGACACTCCGGGTCACGTGGCCAGCGTGACATCGCTGCTCTGGCGAGCCAGAGCCGCACACGGAAACGCCGTTTACCTTCCCGCTAGTAAGCGGTCCCTAATTTATCTATAATAGATAGATTACATTAAAAGATGCAGAAACAAAATATAGAAATGGAACCCATGGAGGGAAGGAAGGAGGTCTGAACACTGAGTGCATATAGAAGCTCAGAATATTCACACAGCATCCTACTGAAATTTTCCACCAACCCCTATATTTTGACATGGCCACCCTAGCCAGATAGAAATGTGGCAAGTCTGTGGCTGATGGATTTCAGCACCCTCTCTTCTCCCAGTAGACAGCTAGACACCACGGCGAAGTTTACAAGCAGGGCAACGTCCCTCTCCTCTCATCAGACAGATCACCGGAAGAATCCCGGTCCTGAAAGTTAAACTTTGCTTATCAAGGCAACAGAATACTTGATCTGAACCGATCCTTGCCTCCCAGCTCTTTCATATGCTTGTGCGTGTCACAATATTCACCGGCACTGAGACCAACAGGCTTCTTCTGAGTGAGTGTGAGTGAAGCCTGTCTCCTAAAACTTTGCATCTTACCAGTTTCGGGGGATGAGCACAAACCTGAAGCATATATATGCCTTCCTCCTTCAGTGTGAGATCTTAGGACTGTGTGAAGCCCCATTATCCTAGCCCCCCCCCCATCAGAAGCTCCAGTGATTTAATCGGACAAAGAGCTTGGCTCAGGTCCACAGTCACTGCCTCTCTAAATTCTGCCCCCCCCCCACTGTCAAGGTTCACCCTGTTCCCCGTTCAGCTTCCCCCTCCCTTAGCAAGTGCAGCGCCTGTTCGCTCAGCAATCAAGGTGGCTGATTCAGAATCGCATCGATCAACACATGATGGGTGAGTGAATGACTGAACGAGGAGGGAGGGGAGGAGCCTCCCCCTCCTTAATTTACCCACCTACTAAGGATATAAACCCCTGGCTGAGAGAGAGCTGCTAACAGAGGCATCAGCAAGAAGCAACTTGAAACTTGCAGAAGGGCTGGCTGAATCCTACTTGCATCCCTCTACATCTAGCTTTGCACCTGTTCCTACCTCCTTTTGACAGTGAGTATCTGGGACAGGCAATTGTTGGTTTGGATGAGGGGGCGGGGGGAAGTCCCTTTGAACTGCTGCTGCGCTTATTTTCAGGGAGGGAAATAAAGTTGTGGGGACTAGGGAATAAAGCCGAAGCATGACTTAACTTCTAAAAGCCGAGGGTTGCTTGGGGTTCCCGAACAAAACAGGATGGCAGGTGTTCTTTGGGCACATGCTCCTCTTCCGCTTGCTGTTTCCTGACATTTTAGTAGCAGGTGCTCCGAGAGACCGAGCTGCTATGCTGAGCTTTGGGATCAGGGGTCAAAAGGGAAAGAGGCTGTTTCAGGGAACCGGACATTCTTCTGGTTGAACATTTGACAGCGACGTGTTTGTACGCAGTTATGTCCACACTGAGCATCTGCCGGTGTTCTGTTTTCCGGGCAGTTTAGGAAAGGCTGTTGGCCATGCCAGATCTCAACAAGGTGGCAATGTATTAATGTAAAGCTGGCCTTTCCACAAGGGACTATGGGATGCTTTTGCAGGGCTCACCTGGCGGGACTGGGTTAGTTCAGGCTGCTTAGTAGGCTTTGTGCGTTCTCGTCTCTTTCCTTCCAGATGGTGGCCTCTCTGAAGCCCTGGCCTCTTGTGATCGCCGTGACCCTGTGCGTCCTGTTCTGCCTGGGGACCTTAGTGGATGCCTACCCTCCCAAGCCGGAGAGTCCCGGAGAAGATGCTTCCCCAGAAGAGATGGCCAAATACTTCTCAGCTCTCCGGCATTACATCAACTTGGTGACACGGCAGAGGTGAGCAGGGTCGTGTGGGTCTGGGTGTGCAGTAGTGGCTTCTTATGTACCAGGGAAATGAACACACATAGACACACCCACACACCCCACTGCCTGCCTGAACGTTGGTGGGGAATGGGCATTGGGTGTAGAGGTCCAAAGGAATGGAGGAAAGTCTGTAGATCCCTGCCAAGTAGAGCACACATTCTTAACATTCCCCAGGTGGAGGCAGCAGAGGGAGGGAGTCAGGGCAAGGCTGCTGTCTGGGACTGTATCCAGCTCACTAGCATCTTTGTCTGTCATCAGCTGTGAAGCTGCAAGGAAGCCACAGTGAACCCTTTCGAAAGATGACACCTTTCTTCAACCTTAGACTGTTCCTGTGCCAGGTTTCATTTTCTCTGTGTTGTGAAAGCACGCTAACAGCATACCCTCCAACATTTCTCCAATGAAAATAGGGACGTCCTATTTACTACTACTACTAATACTAATACCCCTCCCATCCAACTGGCTTTGCCCCAGCCACTCTGGGTGGCTTCCAAAATACAGTCATACCTCAGGTTGAAGTCGCTTCAGGTTAAGCCCTTTTGGGTTGCACTCCGCGGCAACCCGGAAGTAACGGAGTGCGTTATTTCCGGGTTTTGCCACTCACACATGCGCAGATGCTCAAAATGACGTCACACACATGCGCAGAAGTGGCGAATCACAACCTGCGCATGTGCAGACGTGGGTTGCATTCACTTCAGGATGTGAACGGGGCTCTGGAACGGATCCCGTTTGCATCCAGAGGTACCACTGTATATAAAAACATAATAAAACATTAAACATTAAAAAAACCCTTCCCTATACAGGCTGACTTCCGATGTCTTCTAAAGGTTGTATAGTTACTTGTCTCCTTGGCTCGAGGGGGGTCACATGACTCCATACCCTCCAACATTTCTCTGATGAAAATAGGGACGTCCTAACGAAAAGCAAGACATTCTGGGATCAAATCAGAAATTGGGAAGGCTTCTATAAATCTGAAAAATAGGGACACTTGGAGGGTCTGCAAACAGTTTTTATCTTCTGCTGAGTGAGTGTGTAAGTTAAGAAGGCCCACGAAGCATGTTCTTAAACCTTATTTGCCTATGCAAATTATCACTACTTTGTCGAGTACGTTAACTATGGTCTGTGCGCCCACAGAGTGTAGCTTTTCATTTGCAGAGATTGCTGAGCCCTGCAGCTTTTAAAGGCAGCCAATCAAATCAGCAGCCCAGCTGCTTAAAAAAAAAAAAAAGCCCATTTCAACACCTCCACCATTAGCACCAACTGCCTGGTACAGCCCATTAACTGTCATCTCCTAGAAACTTAATTGGAAATCCAACCCAGGAGGCGATTAGCAAGCCCTCGCCCCTCTGGGTTGATTCATTTTGTCTCCATGTCCTTCTTGAACTCCTGACCCAGTTCTGAACCCTGGGGAGCGGTGGATCTGATTTCTGCAAACCACGGAACGGCAGCACATATATTCCTGTGGGGGGAAATGCACAAGCCTTTTAGAATCCACTGATAAATGCCCACCTTTGCAGGGAGAGTCACACCCTAAGGGTCAGCTCATGTAACCAATCTTCTCTGTTGTTCTTCTCTGACCAGCCTTCTTTGGGGAAGTTCAAACACAGGCAAGATTTGCAGTGCAGGTTTTGCATTTGAGTTGTGTGCCCAAACCATTGTATTGGGAAATTTTTAATGTTTGACATTTTGTGATGTCTTTATACGTGCTGGAAGCTGCCAAGAGTGGCTGGGCAAACCCAGCCAGATGGGTGGGGTATAAATATTATTATCATCATAATCATTTTTAATTTGAATACTGCCTTTCTTACAATACTCAAGGCGGTTTACAAGCTGAAGAAACAAAAAATGTACATCTTATAACAATCTAATGCAATATTATTATTATTATTATTATTATTATTATTATTATTATTATTAAAGGTTGTTTGGGGCTACCTGAAGTTTCTACCCTCTGCTTCGAAATTCCTTGCCAATAATAATAAAATTAATAATAATAATAAAATTAACAACAACAACAACAACAATAATAATAATTTCTTATTTATGCCCTGCCCATCTGGCTGGGTTTCCCCAGCCACTCTGGGTGGGTCCTAACAGAATATTAAAAGCACACTAAAATGTCAAACATTAAAAACTTCCCTAAACAAGGCTGCCTTCAGATGTCTTCTAAAAGTCAGATAGTTGTTTATTTCCTTCACATCTGATGGGAGGGCGTTCCACAGGGCGGGCGCCACCACCGAAAAGGCCCTCTGCCTAGTTCCCTGCAACCTCACTTCTCACAGGGAGGGAACTGCCAGAAGGCCCTCGGAGCTGGACCTCAGTGTCCAGGTAGAACAATGGGGGTGGAGACGCTCCTTCATGTATACTGGGCCCAAAGGTGAAGACGTGAGTGGTGATGCCCCAGGAGCTCATTCTGTACATGCTTAGAGGCATTCCTTTCTTATCCTTGCTCCATCTGTTGCAAGTGCAGTGTGGGGCTCCTGCCTTGTAGCTGCTGAAATTAGGTGACGGGGAGAGGAAGAGCAAAAATCTGGACATCTCTCCAAGGGAACTTCTAAGATGGCACTAACTCAGTCCTCCCTCTCCATCCCTTTCTCTACACAAGGTATGGCAAGAGATCCAGTCCAGAGAGCTTGATGTCTGAACTCATTTTCGGAGACAGCAGCAGCAGCAGTAGCAGCAACAGTGACCACAACATGAGATCACGGTGAGTCCTCGTAGCATTGCAGGGCATAGCCCTTTTTAGAGTACCGAAAGCCACTTGTACCTGACATGGGTCCTATTCTTTCTAGAGGAGTGGGTGGCACTGTGGTCTAAACCACTGAGCCTCTTGGGCTTGCTGATCGTAAGGTCGGCGCTTCGAATCCACACCACGGAGTGAGCTCCCGCTGCTCTGTCCCAGCTCCTGCCAAGCTAGCAGTTGAAAGCACATCAGTGCAAGTAGATAAATAGGTACCGCTGCGGCGGGAAGGTAAACAGCGTTTCTGTGTGCTCTGGTTTCCGTCACGGTGTTCCATTGCATCAGAAGCAGTTTAGTCATTCTGGCCACGTGACCTGGAAAGCTGTCTGTGGACAAATGCTGGCTCCCTCGGCCTGAAAGTGAGATGAGCGCTGCAACCATAGCTGTCAACTTTCAGATTTGAAAATAAGGGATCAGCAGCCTCGAAAATAAGGGTTCAGCGGCCTTACCTGTCCTGGGGACAGTCTATGGGATATCTAACAATCCGGGATAGCAGCGGGAAGCAGCGGGAAATGGCGCTGGAATAAGGGAATTTCCCGCAAAAAAAGGGAAGGTTGACAGCTATGGCCACAACCCCATAGTCGCCTTTGACTGGACGTAATTGTCCAGGGGTCCTTTACCTTTCATTTTTACCTATTCTTTCTAACCACGACAACTTTTAAGGATTGCTAAATAGGAAGGAAAGAACATGCTCTAAATGCTCAGATACTTTTCTGTGTGATTACTGTGATGTCTAATCTGTAGAAACAAAGGTGAGTTTAAGACTCAGACTTGCTTGGAAGCCACCTCCATCTTGACCCAGTACAATGTTTCCCCTCTGCCCCCCCCACAACCCCCCTGAAAGAGTACTCATCACTAGGAAAGCAGCATTCTGCACTTATCCAAAGGAACCTCCCTGGTACCCCATGGTAAACTATAATTATTTATTATGCTTATGTGCCACCTTCACCTCAAAGCTGGTGCATGTGATTCAATTTTATCCTCACAACAACCCTGTTAGGTATTTTGGGCTGAGAGGCAGTGACTGGCCCAAGGCCACCCCAGCAAGCTTTGTGGCTGAGTGGGGATTCGAACCCGGGTCCTGCTCCAGCATTCTGACTGTTACACCATGCTTTCTCTGAAGTCAAATGTGGAATAATCCCAGGAATCGTGCACTGCGCATTCAGAGCCGTGCGTGATCCAGTGCAATTATTCCATCCGTTTATCTTTTATGGCCCTTATTTCAGATCTAGCACATCCAAGGGCGACACTGAAAAAAGGTTTATATGAAGCATATACAGTGGTACCTCGGGTTACAGACGCTTCAGGTTATGCAATTTCGGGTTGTGCTCCACGCCGAACCCGGAAGTACTGGAACGGGTTACTTCCGGGTTTTGGCACTCGCACATGTGCAGAATCGCTAAATCGCGCTTTGCGCATGTGCAGAAGCACTGAATCACAACCCGCGCATGCGCAGATGTGGCGCTGTGGGTTGTGAATGCTGTGGGTTGTGAACGCGCCTCCCGCACGGATCACGTTCGCAACCCGAGGTTCCACTGTATTTAACAATGCAATATCATTTAAGCCAGGCTTTCCCAAACTAGCTTCTTTGGGGACTGCAGTTCCCATCATCCCTGACCACTGGTCCTGCTAGCTAGGCATGATGGGAGTTGTAGTTCAGAAACAGCTGGCGACCCAAGGGTCAGGCGTCAGAGGAACCAACCCCCACGGCAGGTTGCCAGGAACGGAGAAGAGAAGGAAAAGTCCTTACCATCTGCTTCTCATTCAATAGTCACAGAGAGAGGCTCTTGGAATAATGGCGTTGCCCCGAGTAAATCTCCACCTCCCTTCTCTTCCACTTCCCCATTCATCAACAGCACTCCCCACCCATGGTCTCCAAGCCCTTTGCTCTCCTACTTTTAAGGCCTGCCGGGTTCTAGGAGGTTGTGGGTCTGGAATGCTTTCTGGTGATAATCCCACACTTGCCTATTCAGAATCAGAAGTAAGTCATAGTTTAGTGGAGCTTACTCCCTGGAAAAGGGGTATTGTCAGGCAGCAGAGGAACCAGCCTCCTCGGCAGGTTGCCAGGAACTGACAAGACAAGGAAAAGTTCTTACCATCTGTTTTTATTCAATATTCACAGAGAGAGTCTCAGGAATGTGGCCTCTCAGAATTATGGTGTTGCTCAGAGTCAAACCCCACTCCCTCTGTCCCTCACACTTCCCATGAGTCATCACTACGGCTGCTGAAAAGTGCCTTTGGCCAATAATAATAATAATAATGATGGGACGCGGGTGGCGCTGTGGGTAAAAGCCTCAGCGCCTAGGGCTTGCCGATCGAAAGGTCGGCGGTTCGAATCCCTGTGGCGGGGTGAGCTCCCGTTGCTCGGTCCCAGCGCCTGCCAACCTAGCAGTTCGAAAGCACCCCCGGGTGCAAGTAGATAAATAGGGACCGCTTACTGGCGGGAAGGTAAACGGCGTTTCCGTGTGCTGCGCTGGCTCGCCAGATGCAGCTTTGTCATGCTGGCCACGTGACCCGGAAGTGTCTCCGTACAGCGCTGGCCCCCGGCCTCTTAAGTGAGATGGGCGCACAACCCTAGAGTCTGTCAAGACTGGCCCGTACGGGCAGGGGTACCTTTACCTTTACCTTTACCTTTACCTTTACCTTTACCTTTAATAATAATAATAATAATAATAATAATAATAATAATAATAATATTTTATTTATATCCCACCCTCCCCAGCCAAAGCTGGGCTCAGAGCGGCTAACAACAGTAAAAATAGCACTGTTTACATGAAAACACAGTCAATTAATTGAAATACATTCTAAAATCAGTTCAGAATCAAATTAATGGCAACCGTTGGGCTAGAGTTCTATGAAGATTGCAGAAGAAGAGAGGGGGTCAGACTGTGCCTTGGCCAAAGGCCTGGTGGAACAGCTCTGTCTTGCAGGCCCTGCAGGAAGATGTCAAGTCCCGCAGGGCCCTAGTTTCTTGTGACAGAATGTTCCACCAGATCGGGGCCACGGCTGAAAAAGCCCTGGCTCTGGTTGAGCTCTTTGCTCTCCTACGTTCAAGGTCCGCCATGTTCTGGGAGAGAGAGAGAGTGTGTGTGTCTTGAATGCTTTCTAAAGACATGGTATCCATCAGCTGTCACTCTTCTTCTTCTTCTTCTTCTTCTTCTTCTTCTTCTTCTTCTTCTTCTTCTTCTTCTTCTTCTTCCTCCTCCTCCTCCTCCTCCTCCTCCTCCTCCTCCTCCTCTCCCATTATTTCCCAACTATCCCCCTCATCTGCCTCTGAGCTGTGACCTCCCTCAAACCCCAGTTGTAATTCTGAATTCTGAGAGCCAGTGTGGTGTAGTGGTTAAGAGCGGTAGACTCGTAATCTGGTGAACTGGGTTCGCGTCTCCGCTCCTCCACATGCAGCTGCTGGGTGACCTTGGGCTAGTCATACTTCTTTGAAGTCTCTCAGCTCCACTCACCTCACAGAGTGTTTGTTGTGGGGGAGGAAGGGAAAGGAGAATGTTAGCCGCTTTGAGACTCCTTCTGGTAGTCATAAAGCGGGATATCAAATCCAAACTCTTCTTCTTCTGAACTGTCTTCTTCTTCTCTGGAAGGGTCAGGCTGGGGAGGCAGTCTCCACCATTCTCCCTCTCTCCAGTCCCTAACACCAAGTTTTGGGAAACCCTGGTTTAAAGCACCCACCCTGTGATGTGCCATTGCTCTGGATGGATTTGGGAGGGTGGGTGGCTTTGTTTTTGGGACAGGAGCAGCGAACCTCATTCCTTCCCCTGCAATTGTGTGATTCTGCCTTTGCTTCCTGCAGATTTGATGATTCCTATGGGTGGTGACGACCTTCGCACACCTCGGCCGATGGCCCGCCGGCTGCCACTTTTTAGACGTTCCAATTCTGTGGTGTCGTTTTGCGGTTATTTTATTTTAAAGAAAAACAATCAACCCGTGACGAGAGCCGAAACTTTTCTTTGAAGAGACCCTCTCCTCTCCCCCACTTCGATTTTCTCCACCTGGTATTCGTGAGGCTTGGGGAATCATTTCCCCTCCCCAGACAACACTACAACCAAGCCATGCCTCCGTCTTTCCATAAGCCAGCAGGGGGCGACACAAGAGATCTTCGTGTCTGGGGACAAGGCGGGGGTGGGGGTGGGCTGCCTTTGTGGTGACCTAGGTTGTATTCGTAGTGACGTCTGTGTTGACTCACCAGTGCAAGAGCCTACTATGTCTGCTCTGGGTTGATCTTTTATTTTATACACCATTTGTGCGCGCGTGTGTATGTGTGGTTATGGGTGAATGTATGTAAATGTATGCATTTTCAATGAATTTTTCTCTGCATCCACAATAAAAAGCAAGTTTAATGGAGAAGCCTCCTGGAATTTTTCCTTTCTTATGCTCTCTCTCTCTTAAAAAGATATTATTTTAATTAAATTTCCCCAGTTAACTTCAAATCAAATAATTACGGTACATAACATCTTTGTTTCACGGATGGGCTTCCCACTCCCACTCCCATAGTGTTTTTATTCAAACCCTTTTCTTTCTTTCTTTTTTGAAATCTTTTTTATTTGATTTCCCCCCAATACAGAGTTATAAGAATCTAAATATATATCCATATATAGAGATTTCTCTTAATCTCAGGACTCCCCCTCCCTGGAGTCCCATTTTAAACATTTAAAACTGTATCTTTTCCCAAACTCTAAGTTTTATATCAATCCGTGTTGTCCATGGTAATTGTTACACTACAAGTGAAATCAAAGTCCTGCCAAGGTTTCCATCTGCTTACAGTGGTCTCTTAAATAACTTATCATTTCCCCCCATTCTTTTGTAAAAATGTTTTCCTCTTGCATCCTGAGTTTTCCAGTCGGTTTTGCCATATCGGCATTGTCCATCAGCTTAGTTTGCTATTCCTCTCTGATAGGGACCCTGTCTTCTTTCCATCTCTGGGCTAGCAGCATCCGGGCGGCTGTTGTTCCATATATAAAAAGTCTTTTCTGCTCCTTTGGGATGTCGGTACCTATAATTCCTAATAAAAAAGCTTCTGGTTTTTTTTAAAAAAACAAAAGTTAATTTAAACATCCCCCCCCCATTTCATTATATATCATCTCCCAGAAAGCTTTTACCACCTCACAGGTCCACCACATATGATAAAAAGTGCCTTCTTTTCCTTTACATTCCCAGCAAGTATTTGTACTTGTCCTATACATTTTCGCCAGCTTAGTTGGGGTCAAATACCACGGTACGTTTTCATATAGGTTTCTTTCAAAGTACAGCGGTACCTCGGGTTACATACGCTTCAGGTTACATCCGCTTCAGGTTACAGACTCCGCTACATTTCAGAGCATCCTTAACAAACCACAGTCCCTGGGATTCTCTGGGAAGCTGCAGGTAGACTCAGGGGCTAACTGATGGTTGCCATTTTATCCATGAGCATAGGAGCCAACTCCTAGGGGCCGAGGGATCTTTGCCCCCCCCAATAAAATATTTGAGGGGGCCACTCCCCAAAGTTGAATTGCCATTCAAATTGTGTGTGTGAAACCGCATCATGCAGCCAGTTATGCAGGGTGGAGCTTACCTGGGCCCCCCAATATTTTGTTCAAGTTTGCACTCCTGTCCATGAGGAAGAGACAGAGGTACAGTGAGGTTTTAACAGGATGATTCCAGATGAGTGTTTTAATGTGGGGTCAATACTCCTCAGGCAACCTCCCCCTGCTATAATTAGATTTTATTTTATTTCTTTCAGACACTCAAACCCATTCATGACGATAGTTACAGTACTAAATAAATACGCCGTGTATTTCTATAATGCTCAAAGAACAAGTTTTTATGAGTCAAAACACGCCTGTCATGTTTTCTGAAACACATCTTCAGCAAACAGCCTTCGTCCTCAGGATAGCAACGTTTGGGGCAACCATGTATTTGAATTTCATCACTGTGGTCCAGCCAGTGTTTGAAAGACATATATCCAGTTAGCACAGCAAGATATTTCGGAATACAGCAGCGTCACATTATACACATTGTGTGCATTTCAGCGTTGCGAAGCCACACACGATGGTTTGTTTATTACGGTAACTGTACAGCCTATTGGCCATAGGCCAGGGATTTAATCTTTGTGAAGTTTTTACATCCTTTCATATCTATGTTGTAGACATACATGATGTTTATTTAGTACCTTGACTTTATTTGCTCTTTTGTATCTATCGATCGGTTCAGGAAGGTTTGCCTTACAATGAAAGAGCACAATACAACAAGCAAGAACCAAATGCACCCAAAAAGTCATAAAACATCATTTGGTGACATAAGAGTACCAGCTGCTGGTAAGGGAAAATGTCATCAGCTGTGACATTTCCCATCACAATGCCTGTGATGCAGAGTTAAGTCACCCTGGGTAAAATTTCCCCTTAAGGTTACAGGATCCTTTTAGGGTGCGAATATTTATTAAATTTAGGGATGCTGGAGAATTCTGGAAGGTTCGCAGGCTATGAAGGGCTTGCTTACCAGTTTATTGGCAGCTAGGAAGTGGAACGGGGCAAGCAGAATATAAAATGGAAGAATGACATAAAGAGGTGTGGGATATAGCTATTCATTATAAATTAACATGTGCCATTAAGGTAAGACGAGGAATATGCAGGAGAAATGATTTTGAGGAAATATGGAGGGTTTTTTAAAAAGAATTTGTACTGTTAAAACAGAAAGGGGTCAAACCATCGCAAGAGGTGGTGAAATTTTGGGAGGTTGGATAGTTACAACAGATGATGGGGTGCACATTTTTGTTCTTATTTATGTATGCTTATTACCTTGTCAAAATAAAAGAAGAAGAAGAATTCAAAAGAAAACAGAAACAGGGGCAGGAATGGCTGATGCTCGCTTACTCAACCCCTGTCCAGAATCAAAATCAATCCCGCAGACGCAATCGGTATTTGCTGTTGCTGCTGATTTCATCTCACAAATTATTCATGATTAATTATGCCTTCCCCTCCAATTGGATCATGTTTCCTTGGCATTGAGATGAGCAGGGGTGGAGCAACATAATGATGACATAATTTACATAATGAAGCTGAGGGGGTTTATAGCAAGACCTGCATTCATGGCCACATGGAACTGGAAGAAGGTTTGAAGGCTTTGTTTAGAGGTTATGGTATTCCTTCACATAGAGGATGTGGACAGAAGGACAGAAGAAACCATTTTTTAACCGTCGTCCCCAGATCATAGGATGATTGGTAGGGAACAGACATAGGAGTTATCAGAGACTGGGATGTTCCCTTCAGGCCAAAGTATATTCTAGCGCATGAAGAAGAATTCAAAGACTGATGCTGCTGCAACCAAACACCTTGAAACTTTATTTAGATGGTAGATTGGGAAAGGTTATGGAACCACCATGCAACGTTTTGTGATATGTGGTGGAATTGTAAAATAATAAAATTATTGGGAAATGATTTGTAATGAAATGAAGAAAATGTTTTAAATAACTTTTGTTTAAAAAAACCCAGAAGCTTTTCTTTTAGGCATTACAGGACAAGAATTATCGAAAGAAATGAAGAACTCATTTATGTACGCCACAACAGCAGCCAGGATTCTATGGGCACAACTTTGGAAAGATGACAAGACACCAACGAAAGAAGACTGGCAAGCCAAAATGATATGCAGATATGGCAAAACTTATAGGAAGATTAAGAGATAAAGATAACAGAGAATTTAGAAAAGACTGGAATCCATTTATACAGTACTTGCAGAAACATTGTGAAGGAATAGACTCACTGGCAGGGTTTGAATAACACTTACAATTAAGGAAAAGATAACAAAAAGATATTGAAATACAATTAGAAAGATGATTAGAAGTATACCTACAAAAGAGATTATGAAGTTAGGTAGAACAACAATAGCAGAAGGAATAAATGCATCAAAAAACCAGAAGGGAAGTTGGGGAAGTCCCTAGGGTAGGGGGGGAGGAGGGATAGGGGGGCGTGATTTGGGTTTTTTGGGGGGCTTTTTCCATTATGTGATGTCATTATGTTGACTGAATATAAAATTGTAAAATCTAATAAAAGGAAAGCTTATGGAAAACATGTACGCTGAAAGAAAATTATATGAAAATGATGTACTGGTGGTATTTGACTCCTAGTAAGTTAGCAAAAATGTATAGAACAAGTTCAAATACCTACTGGAAATGTAAAGAAAAAGAAGGTACCTTTTATCGCATGTGGTGGTCATGTAAGGCAATAAAAGCTTTCTGGGAAATGATATATAATGAACTGAAAAAAATGTTTAAAAGAACTTTTGTTACAAAACCAGAAACTTTTCTATTAGGAATTATAGGTACAGACGTTCCAAAGGAGCAGAAAAGATCTTTTTTGTAGGTGACAACAGCTGCACAGATGCTACCAGTTCCGGGATGGAAAGAAGAATGGCAAACTAAGCTGATGGACTATGCAGTAATGGCAAAGCTGACTGGAAAGCTCCGGAACCAAGCGGACAAAAACTTCAAAAAAGAATGGGAAAAATTTATAATCGATTTAGGAGACCATTGCAAGCAGATGAAAACATTATCAGGATTTTGATCTCACTTGTAATGTAACAAATATTATGGACAATATGGATTGATAGAAAATATAGATTACAGAATAATATGCAGTTGTAAATGTTGGCAATAGGACCCGTGGAGAGGGTGGGGGGAAGTAACGAGAATCAGAGTAATCACGAGTAATTCAGAGTAATGGATGGATACGTATTTGCATTGTTATAATTTTATATTTGTAAAATCAAATAAAAATGATTTCAAAAAAAGAAACTTTAGAGGAAGGCTGGGGAAATTCAGACTGTCTAGTCCTCTAGTCCTCCCCAGACCACATCTCTCACCAGCCCTGTTCCAGTACCCACTTAAAGTGCTTTTCATTGGCTGAGTCCTTGAACTGAATCAGGCTGATCTGGGGCAATCCAGGCTTTGCTAGGCAGCTAGACTGGTGACTGGGAGTGGCCGCTGAGACCATATTAACACCAGTCCTGAAAGACCTACATTGGCTCCCAGTACATTTCAGAGCACAATTCAAAGTGTTGGTGCTGACCTTTAAAACCCTAAACTGCCTCAGCCCAGTATACCTGAAGGAGTGTCTCCACCTCCATCGTTCTGCCCAAACACTGAGGTCCGGTGCCGAGTGCCTTCTGGCGGTTCCCTCCCTGTGAGAAGTGAGGTTACAGGGAACCAGGCAGAGGGCCTTCTTGGTAGTGGCGCCGGCCCTGTGGAACACCCTCCCACCAGATGTCAAGGCAATAAACAACTATTTTACTTTTAAAAGACACCTGAAGGTGGCCCTCTTTAGGGAAGTTTTTAATGTTTGCCGCTGTATTGTTTTTAATATTCGGTTGGAAGCTGCCCAGAGTGGCTGGGGAAACCCAGACAGATGGGCAGGGTATAAATAAAAAATTATTATTATTATTATTATTATTATTATTATTATTATTATTATTATTATTATTATTATTATTATTATTATTATTATTATTATTATTATTATTATTATTATTATTATTATGTGGGGACAGCCCTGGACCACTTCAGTACAGCACAGTCAAATTCTGCATAGACCACTTTCTTTTGATGCTTCTAGTCAGTGTTTTTTTTCCTGGGGGGACGCATACCCCTAAACATTTTGTGAATCTAAGCTTGGCCTCATTGAGGGGCAGTATTTCAATATGAGTAGGAAAATGAGAGTACCGCTAAACATTTTTTTATAGGAAAAAAAGCACTGCTTCTAGTGCCCTTCATCTGAGCACTCAATGTGTGCAAAATGTTGTAGCTCATGGAATCTTGGAAGAATTCATTCTCCACCTTTGAAGTATTTCTTCTGAGTAAGAATTGCTCTCCTTGGCCGCTCAGCATCTTCTCTCCTAGGGCTGGACAAATTGGTCCATTTCAGGTTTTCTTACTTTCTCCTCTTCCCAGTCTCAAATTTGGTTTTTATGCATTTACACCGCAATCTGCCAATAATTTTTTTTATTTTTTTAAAAAGCAACCTTCATGAAAATTTGCCAGCCTTTTAGGGCAAATTCCTCCCAATATACACATTTTTGTATGTAGCCGTGAATAGTATATGCATTTCGGCAGTTATCTTCACAAATATATGCATTTTTGTACGTGTTGGACAACAGCATCACAAAATTCGAAGAAGTGCAAATTTCAGTGGATAGTTGTGTTCCAGCTTCAAAAGCCAGGTAGTGTTACCATGCCCTTCACAATGTGCCTGTCACAAGAATTGTCGGCGCTGAGACTAACAGGTTACTTCTGCTATGACGTAAGCAAAGCCCAACCGCCCCCTTTAAACATTGCAGTTGATCAGCTTATATTGATGCTTCTCTTAAACTTTGAGAGTACAGTGGTACCTCGGGTTAAGAACTTAATTCGTTCTGGAGGTCTGTTCTTAACCTGAATCTGTTCTTAACCTGAAGCACCACTTTAGCTAATGGGGCCTCCTGCTGCTGTCGCGCTGCCGGAGCACGATTTCTGTTCTCATCCTGAAGCAAAGTTCTTAACCCGAGGTACTATTTCTGGGTTAGCGGAGTCTGTAACCTGAAGCGTCTGTAACCTGAAGCGTCTGTAACCCGAGGTACCATTGTATACCCCCTAACTCTATAACCAGAATCTCTGTATGAATGTATAAAGAGCTATCATCCTAGCTCCATCAATGTTCCACAAAAGTTCCAGTTATTCAATCCTGCAAAGAGCTCAGCTCAGGAACACAGTCGCTGTGTCTATAAATCCCCACACCCTGCCTGGGTTGAACTGGTTCTCCTTCCTGCCCCCCCCCTTTACTGGGCGCAGCTTCCTCACAGAGTAATCAAGGTGCCTGATACAGAATTGCATCGATCAACAAAAGATGGGCGAGTAGGATGGGGAGGGAGGGAGGAGCCACCCCCGCCTTAGTTTACTTACCTCCCAAGGATATAAACCCTCAGCCGAGAGAGCGCTGCTAGCAGAGGCACCGGCGAGAGGCGACTTGAAATTTGCACCCCTCGGCATCCAGCTTTTGCACCTGTTTCGACCTCGTTTTGATGGTGAGTACAGTGTGGCAGGAAAGCAATTGTGCTTCAATGTGTTGCGCTTCTTTTCAGGGGGGAAAGAAAGTTGTGGGGAGTAGGGAATCAGAGGCCGGCTGAAGCACGACTTCATTTCTAAATTCTGGGGGCTGTTTACGGCTGACAAACACAAGATGCTCTGTGTGTTTTGGGGCAGCCGGTTCCACGTTTAGATGTGAATGGGAGGAGATCTGATTTTAGAAGCAAAAGAAAATAGCAGCTGAGGAGTGCAGATCGTCTCATTGATCTTCTTCTCCTTAACTCCCAGAAGCCCCTCTTTCTAGCCATTTTCAACCAGTGGAGGGCTTGGATATTGGAACTGATTCTGGCTTAGGGAAGAGGGTCTTGGGGAGAGAAACTGCAAGGGAGAGGAGGCCAAAAGAGGGAGGAGGGATATCACTGGAGTACCATTACCATCAGCCTCAACCAGCATAGCTTATTGCCAGGGATGGTGGGAGCTGCAGTCCATCAAGATCAGGAGGGTCACAGGTTCCTCATCCTTGTTTTAGGTAAAGGTAAAGGGACCCCTGACCATTAGGTCCAGTCGTGACCGACTCTGGGGTTGCGGCGCTCATCTCGCTTTATTGGCCGAGGGAGCCGGCGTATAGCTTCTGGGTCATGTGGCCAGTATGACTAAGCTGCTTCTGGCGAACCAGAGCAGCACACGGAAACGCTGTTTACCTTCCCGCCGGAGCGGTACCTATTTATCTACTTGCACTTTGACGTGCTTTCGAACTGCTAGGTTGGCAGGAGCAGGGACCAAACAACGGGAGCTCACCCTGTCACGGGGATTCAAACTGCCGACCTTCTGATTGGCAAGTCCTAGGCTCTGTGGCTTAACCCACAGTGCCACCCACGTCCCATCCTTGTTTTAAGGATGCTTAAAAGTCCAGTATGGAGAGGGTTTGCCATGGAAAAGTATTCTTGTCTCCACTACACTGTACAAGGAGCTATTGTCTGGATAGGTAAATCTCCAATAAACTTATGGCCAAATGTGATTTGAACTCTCCCACGCAGGAAGGGAGAGAAGGTCAATTCAGTTTGTACGTCAAGCTGAATCAATCAAATCCACACTTTCCGAAACAACGTGAGACTCAAAACACAGCCACCCTTCAAAATCCGTGCTCTTCTAAATTTTGCGATTCAGTTCTAGAAACAAGAACCAAAGTTTGCCAAAATGGAAACATTTGGTAGGAAAATCAACGTATTTGCGGAAATGAAATGTGTAAATGCATTCTATTACGAGAAACTGCTTTTATCAAAACCGCTTACCAAAATATGTTTTTAAGGCTTCATTTGCACTAAAATCTGAATAATTTTTATGAGGGTTTTTTTTTTAAAAAATGCTGCAGAAACATGGGGAACTGAATTTAAGATTAAGATTAACTGAGAAATGAGAAACTCAGGAGAACTGAAATCAACAGACCTTTCATTCATACTCCCATCTGAACCCAACACACTCTCTCTATTATCCAAGTGCTTCCTTCAGATTCTGCACTTTATATCCTCCTGTTCTGCTCGCTTTCAGTCCAGTCTGCTTCTTGAATATTAGCAGCAGATGCTTCAAGACACGGAAACCCTAACTGCTATCTATGCTGAGCTTCAGAATTGGGGCAAATGTGTAATGAATCTGTAAGCAGGAGAGGGCATATCTGTAAGCAGGATGTTCTGGAGCATGGCCTCTGCAGCATGAGGTGCTTATTCCCACACGGAACATCTGCTTACGTTGTGCTTGCCAGGCAGTTTAGGTAAGCCTGATGCTTAGTACAGTGGTACCTCAGGTTAAGAACTTAATTCGTTCTGAAGGTCCGTTCTTAACCTGAAACTGTTTTTTTTAATTGGTTTTCGCATATTACATGACAATACAGATGTACCAAAGCCAACACCATTTCTTCCCCATCCCCCCATACATTTACATTTATATTTCCTCAATCCATCATATTATTCTTTTCTCCTTCCTCCCACTTCCCTCGATTTCCTCCACATTATACAATTTACAATAATCTTTGCATTCGGCAATATTCTCAAATCGTCTATATATTCTTACTATCTTTCCCTACTAATTTTTCTTCCATCCAGTACTTCACATTTTAATTTAGGCATATTAGCATGTCTTTTCCCCCAGCAGTATTTTGCCATATATTCACCAAAACATTTCCACTCCTTTTAAAATTTTTGATTCAACTGATTTCTTATTATAGCAGTTAATTTTAAAATTAAATATTCATTTAGTTTACAAATCCATTCCTCCTTTGTGGGTATAATTTGTGACTTCCACCTAGCAGCAAGCACTATTCTAGCAGCTGTACTAGAAACTGAAACTGTTCTTAGCCTGAGGTACCACTTTAGCTAATGGGGCCTCCTGCTGCCGCCACGCTGCTGGAGCACAATTTCTCTTCTCATCCTGAAGCAAAGTTCTTTACCCGAGGTACTATTTCTGGGTTAGCGGAGTCTGTAACCTGAAGCGTCTGTAACCTGAAGCAAAGTTTTTAACCCAAGGTACCACCGTACACCAGATCTTGACAAGTTGGCGACATGTAAGACCGCTAACGTAATGTAAAACTGGTATTTCCACAAGGGACTGGAAGCACGGGGAGCTTTTGCAATGCAAACCTGGCAACCCTCAGTTAGCTAAGGCTGCTTTTGGACTCTGTACATTCTTGTCTCTTTTCTGCTAGATGGTGGCCTCCCTGAAGTCCTGGCCTCTCATGATCGCTGTGACTCTGTGCATCTTGTTCTGCCTGGGAACCTTGGTAGAGGCCTACCCTCAACAGCCGGAGCACCCTGGAGAAGATGCCTCCGCTGAAGAAATGGCCAGATACCTGTCAGCGCTCCGACACTACCTTAACCTGGTGACAAGGCCAAGGTGCGGGTTGCTTTTAAAGTGGTGCAGTGATGGTCTCTGGAGTGGTGTCTGTGAGCCCTGTCTACACACACACACACACACACCCTCCTGCCTCCTGAATGTTGGTGGGGAATGAGCATTATGCGCAGGGCTCCCAAGGAAGGGAGAGAAAAATTCAGCCTTCTTCCATCCTGAGCACATTTATTTAACATTCCCCAGGCAAAGCCAGCAGTGAGAGCGACTCCCTATGTGGGTGAATGCATGAGTCAGAGCAAGGTTAGCGGCCGAGGCAGTACAGGTGTCCCTGGGGATGTGGGTGGCGCTGTGGTCTAAACCACTGAGCCTCTTGGGCTTGCCGATCGTAAGGTCAGCGGTTCGAATCCCTGCGACGGGGTGAGTTCCTGTTGCTCTGTCCCAGCTTCTGCCAACCTAGCAGTTCAAAAGCATGCCAGCGCAAGTAAATAAACAGATACCTATGCGGCAAGAAGGTAAACGGTATTTCCATGCGCTCTGGCTTCCATCACGGTGTCCCGTTGCACCAGAAGCGGTTTAGTCATGCTGCCCACATGACCTGAAAAGCTGTCTGTGGACAAACACCGGCTCCCTCATGAGGCCTGAAGTGAGATGAGTGCCACAACCCCATAGTTACTTTTAACTGGACATAACTATCCAGGTGTCCTTTACCTTTTTTTACCTTACAGGTGTCCCTCCACTTACGCAGGGGTTATGTTCCGGGCATCAGTGAAATTGCATAAAGTGGGGAGCACTCTCTAAACACCTTTTAAACGCTCTCTCGGCTGCTCTCCCTCAAATTAATTCAATAGATTTTTTATTGTTTATCGCCAATGGCCATCACAATACAATATAAGCACAAATTGCACAACTACAGAATGAAAGACCCTACATGCACCAGACCAAGACAAACCTAAAATGTCCAAATTTTAAATCCAGACCAAATGCAGACTAAAAAATTCTGCACCCAAAAATATCCACAGCTAGAATTGAAGCTCTGGGGTTGGCAGGAGGCTGGAAGACACATGGGAAAGCTGCTGCTGCGATACCCCGCACATCAGCTATGGGGCGGGGAGGCTAGGCAGCCTAAACAAAGCCCTACTGGTCTCTTCTCTACCCTCATTGATGTCCTCTTCAGGCTCTGGGGAAAGACTCCCCACCTCCCTCCCACAATTTCGGGGTTTGAACTGAATTTTTAAATTATTTTCCAGTGGCCGTACATGAATAAAATGCGTATCAGTGTGTGTGGGGGTGCTAGTGTTGAATTCCTTGCCATGCATGTCTGCTGTCATTAAATAACAGGAAGGGGGGGGCTGCCTCACGGCTGTGCAAATCAGAGGTAGGGTGGGGAGGAGTAAAAATCCCTTTTTCTGTCTCCAAGGGAACAAATAGGATGGCATTAACTCAGTTATTCCTCTCCCAACTGAAGGTTTGGCAAGAGGTCCAGCCCAGAGACCTTGATGTCTGAGCTTATTTTTGGAGACAGCAGCAGCAACAGTGGAGCGAGCCATGATGACCGGTCAAGGTAAGTCCTAGCAGCACAGAGTGCATCATTTTTGCAGCAAACCTACCCAGGACCTGCCTGTTTCTGACCCGGAGCCAATTCTCTCTAACCACCACAACCTTGCTAAAGGGAAGGGCAAGCTCTAGGCTTGGAGACACATTGTGTTTTCTGTGTCATCTACTGGGATGGGGAGGGGCATTCCTATTGCCTCATAAACAGAAAGAAAAGTGATTCTCAAGAGATTGGAAACCACCTTGTCTGCTCCAGGAGCAATGCGTTCTAGACCTAGAACGTCAAGATTACCCAGCAATGGGGAAGCAGCTTTCTGCACGCATCTAACCCTTTTCCAAGCTACACTGCAGACACATAGAAGAATCCCAGGAATCATGTAATATAGATTCAGGGCCATTCATGATTCAGTTTAAGCATGGTATCATGGTATCTAGCATGGTACCATCCGTATTTTATGACATTTGTTGAGATCTAGAGCTTATCCTTGCCCATATGCTCAAGCAAATCATGGAAGCATAGAGTTGGAAGGTACCCTGAGGATCATCTAGTCCAACCTCCTGCAATGCAGGGATATGCAGCTGTACCTTATGGGGATTGAAACTACAACCTGGGCATTATCAGTACCACACTCTATCCAATGGAGCTAGCCAGCTGATAATGCAATGCAATGCAATGCAATAAAATAAAATAAAATAAAAGGTGTTGTTGTTGTATTTGTTAGAATTTATGTACTGCCCTATACCCAGAGGTCTCAGGGTGGTTCACAAAACAATTTTTTTAAACTTACTGGAATCAATTAATCATGGGAATTTCGCTATCATCTATCTATAATTTGCTCATGAGTAAAAACAATATTTCTGAAGCAACCAGCATTTTTGAAGCCACAATGTATGCAAAATATATGCTTGCTAAGAAACCATTTTTAAGCAGTTTGTGCACGCCTGGTACACCAACGCTCTGGGTTCTGCAGGTAAATGGTCTTGGCCTTTGGGACAGGGAGCAGCAGCAAATTGTACTTGAGCTTCTTCCTACAATTCTCTACGTTCACAACAATTTCTTTCTTTTTTGCAGGTTCGATGACTCCAACATGTGGTAACGATCTCGATGCTTCTCAGCCAGTGGTCCATCTGCTGCTTCTTTTTAAACAGGCAAATCATTGTGTTCATTTTGCATTTCTCAAAACCAATTAAGCTGTGATGATTTAAAGAGTCCATTCCCCACCTCAACTTTCTCCATCCAATACTGAAGTGGCTTGGGAAATAAACTCTCACTGCACCCCCCTTTTCAAGACAACAACATTGCAATGAGCCAGGCCTCTTTCTTCCTACAAGCCAACAGGGGGTGCCAGAAGAGTGCTTTGTGGCTGGGGGCAACCTTTGCAGCAGCCAAGGTTGTAAGACGCACCCCCCCCCCAGTGCAAGCCCTCATTATGTCTACTCTGGGTTGTCCTGTACATCATGTGTGCAGGTGTGAATAGGTGTATGTGTGTGCAGATGTATGTATTTGAAATTATTTCTGTTTGTCTCAAGAATAAAAAGCAAGTTTGATGGAGAATCTTATTGCATTCCTCCCTTTGTTCCCAACCAACTGAAGTGGGACAGTCTTTGGCTGCTGGGGTACAGAAACTGCTACAGCAAATATACTATTGGCAAAACCAATTTGGTGTTTCACAACTTTCTGACTAGTTGCAGGACCTTAGCCAGACCTAGCAGAGTACACGCAGAATCCACGGAAGCAATTGGCAACTTGGCTGCAGACAGGATAGATGAAGCAGGTACCAGGAATTTGTAGTTAGGTGTTTATTATATACAGCGGACTACTTACAGGAACAGAACATGGATCTTAAGCTAGCTCTCTCTGACACGACTCACAACTCCTACACTCACTGACACACTGAACTCTGAACACGAAACTCTGAACTAACACATTCCAGTTAGTAGGCCATTAATTATCACTCCCTTGAGAGAGCTTGACCAATCAGGGAACGGTCTCCATGTCTCTGTTATCACCAGGCAGACTTACTCCTTCAGATTGCCTTCTGGCTGTCTGCCAAACCTTAATTGACTCTGTGTGAGTAGCTGCACCTACACAGTTTCCCAACATATACTAGAGAATTCCAACTGGGAAACAGAATCCTGGGATACCATTTTCCAAGTCATGCCAAAATGGCCTCCAAGGAGAACCCTTTCTCTACTGTAGAGAAAGCCTCGGGTTCTACCCTTTGCTTTCTGTGCCCGTTTTCTATGTCCAGAGAAGCTTCCGACAGAGGAGAGCATTAAAAAACACCATTCCCTGCTTACTGTCTGAAATAGAATGAACCATCTATTCTGACATCTTGTTCTGGTGACTGGGTAGGCCGGGTTCTGTCCTTCATGTATGGCCTGAACAATGGTCCCCTCTCTACTTCCCCACACCCCTTTAAATATTAAAATCGGTCACCTTTCCCAGTGGTGTAGCGTGGTTTGCCAGCACCCGCAGCTACACAGAGAGGGTGTGTGGGATGGAAATGGTCTCGATTGCTGTTTGTTCCCCTTCAGCACTAAAGATCAAGTTTCCTCAGGGGGAAGCAGCCGGGCGAATGGAGGTACGCAGAAGCCCAAAGTCAAGATTGGCTCCCAAGGTGGCCTACACAGCTCTACCACAAAAACACACACAATCTAATTTATGCCAAATGGTTATAACCAAACCTTTTCCAAAAGGTGGCTTAGAATATCATGTAAGATATTCTAAGACATGCACCAACCAGCAAACCATGGAAAGAACAGCAGCATCATCAAAATCGGGGGTCAGCGAGGTTTTTGTGGCTTGGGTCGGTTCACGGTCCCACTAATGTCACGGTGGGCCAGAGTGCGCGCGCACGCACACACGCTATTTCCGGTGCTTCTTCCGGTGCGGAGGAGGTGTGCACAGCTTCCCATTGGTTGCAGGAGCTTCCTGCAGCCAATGGGAAGCCAGCCAGCACCGTGGAGGGCGGTCCCCGCTCTGCTCCGTGCCGGTTTAGCGAGGTGTATGGGAGTCGACTGAGCGGGCGGTAGGGGTCCCTGAGCGGGTGGCAGGGGCCCATGGTTAAATGATCCCCCATGGACCGCTTGTGGCCCATGGGCCTTATGTTGCCAACCCCTGATCAAAATATAAGAAACTCAGTTAAATATCTAGAATTAGTACTTTATAAAATAGTGATTAAAAGGGAGCAGCATTGGCAGATTAAGTTGACAGATTATGCTGAAATGGCCAAAATGACCAGAAGAATCAGAAATCAGGAAGACCAGAATTTTAATAAGGAATGGGGAAAATTCATAATTTATCTTAAAAACCATTGTAAACAGTTAAAAATTGTTAGCGGGATTGGAAAATCACTTGTAGTTTCATGGTGAATTTTGGGTATAATGGAGATGCAAAAGTTTTGGATTATTAGAAAAGATGCAGGAGGAAATGATTAATAATAGGACCCCCACAAAGGGGAGGAGGGGAAAGTCCAGGAGGTTCTTCGGAATCTTGATTTTATGCTGTATGTTGAATACGTGATTGTAAAATTGTAATCTGAAAATAAAATAAAATAGATAGATAGATGATAGATAGATAAAGGTAAAGGGACCCCTCACCATTAGGTCCAGTTGTGGCCGACTCTGGGGTTGCGGCGCTCATCTCGCTTTATTGGCCGAGGGAGCCGGCGTACAGCTTCCGGGTCATGTGGCCAGTATGACTAAGCCACTTCTGGTGAACCAGAGCAGCGCATGGAAACACCGTTTACCTACCTGCCAGAGCGGTACCTATTTATCTACTTGCACTTTGACATGCTTTCGAATTGCTAGGTTGGCAGGAGCAGGGACCGAGTAACGGGAGCTCACCCCGCCGCGGGGATTCGAACCGCCAACCTTCTGATTGGCAAGTCCTAGGCTCTGTGGTTTAACCCACAGCGCCACCCGCGTCCCTAGATAACAGCAAAATTCACAACTATTAATGAAAGGTGCAGGAGCCCTTTTGCATCTGTCCACTCCAGAGGTTTGAAAAGAGATGTCCTTCCCAAGGGTGGAGGGCCAAAATTCTGAACCCTTGACACTTACACTTTCGTAACTTTGGAGTCTAAGTTTATACTTGCTAGACAGTTCACGCAAGGGGAGAAGAAAGATACAGACAGTTGACACCTGCTGGAAATCGGACAGCTACTGCAAGGACAAAAAATAAAATAAAATGCCCTTATATTCTGGATGCACTGCTGGGATTCTGGGACTTCATGAATAACTGGGGTGCCACCTGCTGGATGCAGGCAGCAGCAAGAAAGTTCCATTCAGCTGCAGCGTAACATCTTATTCTTAGAAGAAACAACGCAAAAAGTCACCAAGAGGGCCAGGTTGCAGCAAACGGAAACAGATGTTTCTTAGCATGACGTAAGCCCAAATCTGTGGTCTGTTGCAGTCTCAGACTGGAATTAAGGAGGTGCGATGGAGCCATGATTAATTTTAGACGATGCTCAGATTGCACCCAAAGTCTACTGGGGCAAAGCCGCGGCGGCTGGTCTCCTTCTGAAAACACAGCAGCCAGCCAGCAGTTATTTAAATCTGCCTCTGGCATTAATCAGCTTTCAGGTCATAGATAGCAACATCTGTTTCTCTCCCTTTCTTTTGTTGAACCCAAAGAAGTACACCCCCGCTTGGACCGCTTCGTTGGTCCTGTTAAAGATCTGTTCTGCAAACACCTTTCCGAAGATGGAAGGGAAACTTAGATGAAAATTGCGTCAAAGGTCTTTCTCTAAAGGATCAAGGGGTGGAGGGACCCCAAACAATCCCCCCTCAAAGTCCGTCTTGCTTTCTTGGAATCCGCTGCACGTGTTGCCAAATTCAACGTTGCTTTCTCCATTTTTCACCCAATGTGTTTGTCTTCAAGGTGTTTAATAGACAGACATTTAGCACACCTTGACCTAAGTGAAATTATTGCATGTGTGGAAAGAGGTTTCCATGCAGGGATCCGCTGCGCTTGACGTGGGAATGGGAGAACTGGTCAGTTTTGGTCTCTCTGTTTCTCATTTTTACAATCTTAAGTTCAGTTCTGTGCATCTGAACATCTGTTAACTTTTTTAAAAAATTCATTGTGAAAATTCACCGGGATGTTAGTGCTAATTTCTCCTAACGTGGACTTTTTTTTTTGCAAAGCAATTTCCCCATATGCAATACAATCTTATCTGTTATTTTTACCGGTATATGCATCCTTACGTTTAATTTAACCCAATATATCCTATTTTGTACACATTACTTGGCTGGAGAACAACATTACAAGATTTGGATGGCTGTTTGTGCATTGTTTCAGAAATTGAAAATTATTTACGTAGGCTTGCTTATATATGTGAACTGAAGTGGATTTCTCCACCCACTCCTACTCCATATATATATATATATAGAGAGAGAGAGAGAGAGAGAGAGAGCGCCTCTTTCACAGGGAGCAAAACCCAGAAACCTAGCAACACATGCATAATTATACTAGTAGCTCATAGATATGTTCACGTGGAAGTTTTTAGGTGAAGCACTATGCACCTCCATATGCTCAGCCTTATGTGGTTTATACAGTTCTCTGAATCTTAGCGCTGTGGATCCCTGGTCTTAGTGCTGTGGGAGTCCCAAAATACAAAGGATTTTTTAATATATATACATATATACATATATGAATGGAAATGGTTTATTGAATATTTACAGATAAATTATAAACAGATAAAACAGTGGCAGGATTATTGTAACAATCTGCAGTTTTATAAGAGTATATATTTAAAGAATATGAATAAATGAGCAAATTAAGTTAATTTGGATAGGCAGAAGATATTAAAAAATAAATTTAAGGAACTGCAGAAAGCAGGGACTGGAAGTCAAGTTTTGAAATGTCAAAATGAATGTAAAACTAGTGAAATGCATAAACTTGAAAAGTATAAAGAAATAAATAAAATGGAAGAAAGTCAGACATATTCATATTGAAAGCGCATCCATTTCTCACCCCCTTTAATATATAGGAAAGCAGATTCTTTATTGGCACCAGGATATCTTTCTCTCCCAGGGCCATCTGGATTGCAGCAGGAGAGAAAAGAATTAAACCAACTGCTGCATTCTAAAACCAGAAAGATTGCCTTGTAGAAATTAATTGTTCGATTAAACCAACACAGCCCCCCTAAGTGACCCATATCATCACATATAAAAAGCTGTAATCCTGTATATGCTAAGGTAAAGGGACCCCTGACCATTAGGTCCAGTCGTGGCCGACTCTGGGGTTGCGGCGCTCATCTCACTTTTTTGGCCGAGGGAGCCAGCGTACAGCTTCTGGGTCATGTGGCCAGCATGACTAAGCCGCTTCTGGCGAACCAGAGCAGCACACGGAAATGCTGTTTACCTTCCCGCCGGAGCGGTACCTATTTATCTACTTGCACTTTGACATGCTTTCGAACTGCTAGGTTGGCAGGAGCAGGGACTGAGCAATGGGAGCTCACCCCGGCGCGGGGATTCAAACCGCCGACCTTCTGATTGGCAAGTCCTAGGTTCTGTGGTTTAAACCACAGCGCCACCCGCGTCCATCAG